AAAGCAGGAATTTGGGTTTGAGGACTCAATAGTGTTTCTTCAGTCTTACAGAGATTCAGTGCATTTAATAATCTGTGGATTTACATGATTGTTGCTGACTTTCATCTTGGGTGTTCTCCAACCTAGGATGCACCCTTCTGGGCCCTATTTTCCTTCTCTCACATCCGATCTCACATCCTGCCAGCTCCAGTATGGCCTCTGACTTTTATTGATTCTTCTCTTTTTAAAATTGTTATAATTATTATTACACATATTAATCAAATGATCCCTCACATATTTTAGTTGTTGCTTCCTTTTCTCACTTATTTTAAAATACTACCTTTTCTCCACTGGAACATTTTTCTTTTTTAATTTTTTTTTTCTTTTATCCTCATCTGAGGACACTCCTCCACTTTTTGTTCAGGTAGAGTAGGAGGGAGAGAGAGGGAGGGAGAGAGAGAGAGACAGACAGACAGACAGACAGAGAGAGAGAGAGAGAGAGAGAGAAACATCGATGTGAAAGGAACACATCGAGTGGCCGCCACCCACACAACCCAACCCAACCAGGGCCAGGGACAAACTGCAACCGTGGCACACACCTCTAGCGGTAACCGAACCCGGGTCTCCCTGGGCCACAGGCCGATGCTTTAACCACTGAGCCAAACCGGCCAGGGCTCCACTGGAACATTTTTATGAAACAACTTTATTGAAACTCTTTACGTGCATCTTTGATGGTGTCTGGTATCAAATGTACCTAAATATAAAGCGAGGGTTCCCCCCCTTAAAATGACCTCTCTAAAAAGAGAGAAGAGAGACCTGCCTTCTATTCAAGAGAACTTACTCTATTACACGAAAATGTATTGAATGTAGAAGCCACAGTTACAGTCTCATACACCATAAATTCATATTTTTGGCGATTATTGAAAGAGCAATGATGGAAAGACATTTAAGCGAGATTTACTTATTATTCCTTGGAGAAGGTGTTAAAAATCTCACATTTGTAAATATTGAAGATATGTAAAGAGCAGTTAAGTGGTTTTGTTCTGGAGAAAGAATACATAGAGTTATAGGGCAAATGAAAAAACCAGTCAGCTTTACCCAGATTCTTAGTGAAAGTATGTCCCACAAATTAAAAAAAAAGCTGTATATAAAATAATTTATGTAGAAGTGAAAATGATCTGTTTAAACTCTGCAAGTGACACTAGTTATGGGAAAATCATTGTGAATAATTTAAACAAAATGTTTGCATGAAATGTACAAGTGGGCAAAACACAAATATCTAAAGTAATATTTTACTTAATAGGTAATTAAAAGTATGTTTTCCTAACTAAATTATAATATTTATGATTTAAATATTATAAACAGGCACGAGCGTCTTAGCAACATCACTGAAAATCAATTAGATCTTTGAAAATTTTATTAGTAGCCTAAACATATATTTATTTTACTTGGAAGAAAATATGTTTTGGGTGTTTACTTGGGCAAATAGGAGATAATTATATTCAGGATGACTTTATGTTTGGGCATATATGATATGTATGCTGTGTCATCCAAGACTATTAGATCTCTGGGACAGAGTATATATTCTATACGTAACTGTATTCCCAATGCCTAACATAGTACTCTGAATGTAAGAACTCATAAATGTTCATCCTTAGGCATGTAACATCCAAAGACGTAACTCGGGTGTTATTCTTTGTGGAAGACTCCCGAGTCTTCTTCCCCTTTGAAGGAATCGACCACTTCCCTTGTCTTTGCCATAGCAGTCTAACCCTGTCTGCACTTGCTAAAAGACCTGTCTGTGTGCTTGTTCTTGACACTATAAACTCCTCAGGATGGGGCTCGTGTCTTAGACCTTTAGAGCCATGAACGGCGCTTGGTTCATAGGCACTATGAAGGTTCATTGGAATGAAGCATTCATGAGCTTGAATGACTACAGCAGACTATAGGGTAACTTTCACCATTCCAGTTCATGTTCCAAACTTTCATTCTTGCTCTCTGAATCTCAAGAACTAAAAACATTTGGATTTCATAGTGTTCAGTATTGGAACTCTAGGAACTTAATGTAGAAGAATTTTAAAGCACATGTTAAACATAGACCCAGTTTTAGGCATGGAGTGAGGTGGTTTCTAGGGCCAATATAAGTTATTTGAGTGGAAGTGAGGGGCTGCGTGGCCCGCATTGAGACTACATGTGCACTAGAAGCTCTTCTAACCATCACTTTACTTTTTGGAAGGCATCGTCCTGTCTCTTCTGGCTTTGGTCCTTGGTTACCAGATGTGGGAGCTGAAGAGAAGTGAATGTCACCAAATTAGGGTGGCATATAAACTAGGATTGCATAAAACTAGTAAAAAAATAGAAAACTCAGGTTTATGAGCTTCTGCTTACAGAGAAATTATTGTTTTTAATTTACACATAATATGACTTATTCCCCACAAAAAGTTAAGTACTGTTTGGGTAAAGTTAACACTTTCCATATGTAAAAGACTAGGGTGGTTTTATTTCTGAGTATGATATTGTGTCCAGTCGGAATGCAGAGCTAAGCTGTTGTTTTGACTTTGAGCCATTGCATTGAAATGGCATTTTCATAGTAGAGGAGACATATTACAGAAAGAACATTATTTTCATCAAATGACTACTCTGTGCCAGCCATGGGGCTAAGTGCTGTCATGGGCTCCATTGGACTCCTATGACAACCATATTTGCCACAATTTCTTCTTTTATTTTAACTTAATTTTGAGATAACTGTAGATTCACATGTTGTAAGAATTAATACAGAAAGATCCTGTATACCCTTGATTTGGTTCCCTCCAGTGGTATATTTCTTATATAAGTATAGTAGAACCCGGCCGGTATAGCTCAGTAGTTGAGTGTCAACTCATGCACCAAGAGGTTGCTGGTTTGATTCCCAGTCAGGGCACATGCCCAGGTTGTGGGCCAAATCCCCAGTGTGGAGGGCAAGCAGGAGGCAGCCAGTAGTGTTTCTATCTCTCCCTCTCCCTTCCTCTCTCTCTCAAATCAATAAAGAAGAAAAAGAAAGTATAGTAGAGAACAATAGCTGAGAGATTGTCATTGATACAATTCATTGACTTTTTTCAAATTTTACCAGTGTTACATGCACTCGTGTGTGTGTGTGTGTGTGTGTGTGTGTGTGTGTGTGTATTTTGTTCCTTGAAATTTTACCACAAGTGTAGATTACCATTTCTTTTTCAAATTATAGGGGAACAAGGCTGAAATAAGTTATTTGGAATGCCTAAAGTGTGGACCTAGGGTTTGAATTTAGGTCTGTTTGGTCCAAATTTTTGCTTTTGCAGTAATAGTGATGATGAATAACCATAGTAATCAATTATAACATGCTGAACCTCACTGAGTTACATATGAAACAGATGCAATACTTACTGTATGCTAGGGACTGTTCTAATGTATTAACTCATTTAATCCCCCCAATAGCTATACCTCAGAAATTTTATCGCAGTTGAATTAGTACCATTAATTAAACTAATCATATTACCAAGGAATAGGTAATTATTTTTACTAGTCCTGAAATCAAAAATAAAATACTGATATTCTACCTTCTTTTTATATCATTTCATATTTTGAACCCCTGACCATAATCACTGATCTTGTCAATGGTGATTACTTTAAGAGTGAATGTTGTGTGTGTGTGTGTATATGTGTACATAAAGTGAAACCTACCTGTGTACATTCAGTTATGTTGAGATACCTTAAAAATATTTACTAAATTGCAAATAGGAGCTAGTTTAGGTGGGATGCCAGGGTTTTAAGGGAATAAACGTAAACCTCTAAGAATACTTAAAAATATATATTTTTTCCCTAGAGATGTTAGATCTTTTTGGCTAAATACAGCCCCAGGAACATTTGAATTTAATCAAATCTCTCAAGTTACATATCTAATGTGGACACTAATGCATTTGGTTGTGAATTATCACTGATTATCAGAATATTTCATGCTTTAGGAAGATAATAGATAAACTGATCAGCAGTCCATAATTTACTGTACTATCTTTGCTTTAAATATCGTGTAAAGCTGTCCCTGTGATGAACAGGAGCGCTTATTCAGACCAGAAATAACAGTGCCGTGTGTTGTGGAGCCCAGGAGGTCTTGGTGTTTTTGTAGACAGGAGACAGAAATAAAAGGAATTTTGTCCTTTTTCCCTCATGTAATCTCACTGGAAAATGAAACATGTGCTGTGAGTTGATACTGACTTCTGCCAGGTCACCTCCCTGAAGAGTCTTGGGCAAGCACCGTTGCAGCATTTCTCGGACAGGAGTCTGACAGCCCCTGAAGGAGATGGATGGGCCCTGCAGTGCGCTACTGTGCTCCTAGGAAGCTCTAGTGAGGAGTGCCCCGTGACCCGCATCTGTTACCTAACTCCTTCAGAGCATACCAGAACCCCCCAGATTAGAGTCAATTCAAACTAAGTTCTACGTAGTTATTTATTTATTTTTTTCAAATGGGTGACTTCAGTAATGTACCACAAAGTATCGTTTATTCTGTCTTACCTTTTAGAACTTATTTTGGACATTAGATAATACAAAGTTTTTTGAAGCTATATAAGGAATGATTTGGAAACCACAGAAGGTTTTTAGTGGACCACTCTATCAATTTTCTGCTCTTCTAAGGAAGTTTTTCCTATTCATGACTCATTTCACTCTTTGGCTACCATTGAGGGAATGTAATAACAATTAAGGAAAGGAATGTATGCCTTTTCTTCTTTTATTGAAAGCGTGTACACATTTTCTGTCTCGGGTTATGTAAACTTGGAGGACTGTAGAATGTTGACACTGTGAAAGTTAAAAACTAGCCCGTTAATGCATACTTCTTTGGAACTGAAAAGTCAAAAAGCTTCCTTTGCTTCTTTGGAGAAGTGTTTTGCTGGATGGTCCAGAATACAAATCCAGTAAAAAAGACGTGTTCCAGCCGTCACTTACACACACCTTAAGTGAAATTAATGAGATCACTCTAAGATTACGCTTTGTGTTTTATTTTCATTTTATAGGTCTGTATGAGCTGCTGGCTGCTCTGCCAGCCCAGCTGCAGCCACATGTGGATAGCCAGGAAGACCTAACCTTCCTCTGGGATACGTTTGGTGAAAAAAGCCTGCATTCACTGGTAAAGGTAAACCATGCTGATGTCAAATTCTCTTTGCGGAAAAACATATGGAAAAATATTTTGAGCGCCATCTAGTAAACCAGAGATCAAATTTGTTGCTCTCTGAAAACAAAACAGCCTTGTTCCATTTCACTGATGGGCGTGGAAGTTGTTAAAGATTCTACCAAAAATACATAGATGATTTCACTTAATGGTGGTGCTTTGGCTGTGCATACTGATGCAGCAAACATGTGGTTGCTCTTGTTTAGAAAAAGAATATGAAATAGTAGCAGGAGGGTTTAGACTCTTTTATGGTCAACATTCACGAGCTGGAATTTAACTTAAATAAATAAATGTTCGTAGCAAAAATTAGAAGGAATATATTTTCTGAGGTTAGGGATGGCAGCAGTTCAGTAGCCACATTAATTTAAAATAATTTCCTTTAACAAAGTCAACTGAAATTCTAGCAAGCTATTTCTTTTCTTGGCACGATGCCACTGAAGTGGTATTTTGTGTGTAAATACACTGAAGCTAAATACAAATGAAAACAGTGTTTTAAGACAGTTTTAGTAAAGCGTTATGTCATGAAAGTGATCAGTCACAGAATTCAGATCTTGCCGACACAGCAATACTGGGAGTGATCAGAATTCTTAAAATAGTAAAATGAGAACAAGAAACTTACTGGAAAATGTGCCACTCTTGCCTCTGGAAATATGAATTGCAGTTTCTCTCATTTAACTCAAACTAAAAGAAATTTAGAGTCTTAATCAAGTCTGAGGGAGCTAGAAACTTATGATGCCTCAACAATATGTGGACCTGTACTTAATTCCACTAAATCTGTTATTGTTGTCTGTCCTGATAAGAGGCTTTTAATTGATGTAGAGTATTTGAAAATGAGAAACTTCTGAGTTGCAATTGCTTCAACGGACAGGGGAATTATTACATTTTATTTCTTGTGAAATTTGCTGAAATTTGTGTGCCTTGGGCAGTGGCAACTCACAAGAAGTGAAAGTGTTGATATGTGGTATTTTTAGCATTACATTTAAAAACTGGTATGCTTTATTTGTTTATTTAGTTTTAATATAATTTCCAAGGTATTGTGTTCTGAATAATTTTAGGTAGTTTAATTGGTTTCCTGGGATGTGTTAGAAGTAGTCTTGGGATTATAGTGGATGAAGTTTATTACTTCCTGAGGAAGCCATGGAAATATTTCTGTGTTGAATGTATGAAAGTTGGATAGGTATGGATTTGTTTTAAGTAATTTGTTCTTTTTACAGAAGGAATAAAATATATTTCAAATGGCATCATCATCCCTTAATAATTAAATAAACATGCCCCCAAACAATGGAGGTGTGTGTGTTTTGTATATTTATAATGTGACTACTATCTCAGTTTCCTTACCTATGAAATGGAAATTATAATATGTGTTCACAAGGTTGTTTGTGAGTTTCAAATAAAATGGTGAAAATTTTAGTTCTTTAGTAGTTATATGGGTTCAGCAAATGGAAGTAGGCATTATTAAGTATTAAGAAAAAATTAAAATTTAAATATCATAACATGCAAAAGACCAAAACAAATGCCAGAGATGGTTGTTATTTTTATTAAAAAAATAAAACTAATATGTAAAAAGATAGTTACATTGGCTGTTGAGTTTTAAAAGCGTAGATTTTTTTAAAATGCAAGTCAAGAAGTTGTTAGGAAGCATACTGGAGACTACTGATGTCTGGTTTTATAAAAACAAGGAGGCAAATAAATCAATGTTGCCAATGTTTAAATAGCATGATAATCTGTACTGTTCCACATGTTTTTCAGTAATTACTTTAAAATGTATTTTTAAAATTTGTTTTCTTATGTACCATTAGTACATTCTTAGTTTATTTAGTTTTTAATCCTCGCCTGAGGATATTTTTGCATTTGTTTTCAGACAGAATGAGAGGGAGGAGGAGGAGAGAGAGAAACATCAGTGAGAAAGAGACACATCCACTGATTGCCTTCCGTGCGACCCTGACCAGGGCCAGGGACGGAACCAGAACCGAGGTACCCTTGACTGGAATTGAACCCATGACTCTTTGGTCCAGGGGCCATCGCTCTAACTGCTGAGCCATACCGGCCATGGCTACATTGTCAGTTCTTAATAGTTTTCCCCGCACTCAGCTTTTATCACATGAAGACCTCAGAGTGTCCTTTGACCCATTCTATTAGTTTTCAAGGATTTACAGCTTAAAATGCCTTCAAGGGGCAGGCTCCTGGGGGTGTTGTTCCAACAGCTGGATCAAACTGCTTAACTCTATTCTAGGTGCTATTGGAGCGCGGAGGATAGACTTTCAGCCTTTGTATGTAAATCTTTGCAGTGTATAAGGAATTTCTATGAAAAGATTTGTGCTTGAATCAACATGTGCTTGAATGTTATGTTCTTTTGCCTGCAATTGAAGCTGTTGATATGCAATTTAGAAATGGGTCAACGCTAAATGTGATTTTATTGTAGCACGCAATTTTCATAGTTGTCATCTTATTTTATGTGAAAAAAAGTGGCTGTTAAATCTCCACACAGCTTAAACACATGTCTCTTTATGGTCTAATGTAAAATATACTTACGGAGAGGCAGTTCTGGCATTGCAATCTGTGACAGGGACAGCACGTCACTTTGGATGTTGAGCCACTCTGGCAGGAAAACTGTAGGTTATGAGCTTGTCACTGCAAAGGAACTATGATGATCCTGTAAGGCATTAGCTGTGGATTTTATTTTAGAAAAAAATATATCTGAAGAGGGAACTTGAATAATGAAAACTGTGAGCATGAGGTTTTAGACGTATCAGAAGAAAGATGGTTCTGATAAAAGACCTAGGAAATATATGTAAGAATGGAAATATATACAAGGTGTGGCAAGACAAGGATGTTAGGATTCACGTGATCCAGTGAATGTGATAGACCACCAATAAGTATTGAGCCACATTTTTTCTATTGAAGTATAATTGACATATAATATATTTGTTTCACACCCCTTACTGGGGATTGAGCCCAAAACCCGGGCATTCCTGACCAGGAATCGACCTGGGACCTCTCAGTCCACAAGAGGATGCTCAGTTCACTGAGCCACATGGGCCAGGTGCAATACAATGTTACTGACTACATTCTCCATGCTGTACTTTACATTCCCATGGCTAATTTATTTTATAACTGGAAGTTTGTATCCTTTTCACCTACTCCCAACCCTCTCCCTTCTGGCATCTACCAGTCTGTTATCTGTATCTGTGAGATTGATTTTGTTTTGTTTGTTCATTTGTTTTGTCATCATGTGTTCCTTCATTGTCCATCCCTGTCATTGCAAATGGCAAGATTTCATTCTGTGTTTAGTGGCTGAGTAATATTCCATTGTATATCATCTGTACCACATTTTATTTATCCAGTTGTCTATCAGTGGACACCTAGATTGCTTCCATATATTGGCTATTGTAAATAATGCTGCATTGAGTATGAAAGTGCATATATCTTTTTGAATTAGTAATTTTATTTTGTTCAGATGAATACTCAGAAGTGGAATTCCTGGATCATATTTTGAAATTTTTAAAAAAATTAATTAATTTTTGTTACAGATGTTTCTTCTCCTTTTTCTCTCATTGACACCCTCCTCTCCAAACCCTCCCCTTCACAGTATTGTTGTCTGTGTCCACTGGTTATGCATATATGCATATAAGTTCTTTGATTTATCTCTTCCCACCCTCCCTACCCTCTTCCTCTGAGGTTTGTCAGTCTGTTCCCTACTTCCATGTCTGTGGATCTATTTTCTTCATCAGTTTATTTTGTTCTTTATATTCTACAAATAAGTCAGATAATGTGATACTTGTTTTTCTCTGACGGGCTTATTTTGCTTAGCATAATACTTTCCAGATTCATCCATGTCGTCTCAACGGGTAAGAGATCTTTCTTCCTTACACCTGCAGAGTATTCCATTGTGTATATGTACCACAGCTTTTTTATCCACTCATCTACTGATGGACACTTGGGTTGTTTCCAGATCTTAGCTATTGTAAACAGTGTTTGTATGAAAACGAGTGCATATATTCTTTCTGGTTGGTGTTTTAGGCTTCCTGGGATATTCTTAGAAGTGGGAACATGGATGGGGTCAAATGGCAGTTCCATTTTTAATCTTTTGAAAAAACTCCATATTGTTTTCCATAGTAGCTGCACCAGTCTGCATTCCCACCAGCAGTGTATTAGAGTCCCCTTTTCTTCACCAACACTTGTTGTTTGATGATTTGTTGATGGTGGCCATTCTGACAGGTGTGAGGTGATATCCCATTGTTGTTTTAATTCACATCTCTCTGATGGTTAGTGATGTTGAGCATTTTTTCATATGTCTTTTGGCCATTTGTATATCCTTTTTGGAGAGGTGTCTATTCAGGACCTCTGCCCATTTTTTAATTGGACTTTCTGTCTTCCTTTTGTTGAGTTGAATGAGTACACTATATATTTCGTAAATTAACCCCTTACCTGATGTTTCATTGGCAGTGATGTTCTCCCATACAGTGGTTTCCCTTTCCATTTTGATGCTTGTTTCTTTTGCTGTGCAGAAACTTTTTAGTTTGATGTCATCGCATTTATTAATTTATTTCTTTGTTTCTCTTGCCCTAGGCAATGTATCAGTGAAAATTCTGCTACATGTAATGTCTGAGATTTTGTTTCATATATTTTCTTCTAGGATTTTTATGGTTTCCAACTTTTATCCATTTTGAGTTTATTCTTGTGTAAGGTGTAAATTTGTGGTCTAGTTTTATTTTTTTGCATGTAGCTGTTCAATTTTCCCAGCACCATTTATTGAAGAGACTGTTTTTACTCCATTGTATGCTCTTGCCACCTTGGTCAAATGTTTGTGAGCGTAATGTCTTGAGCTGATTTCTGGGTGCTCTGTTCTGTTCCATTGATCTATATGCCCGTTCTTGTGCAGTATGAGGCTGTTTTGATTATAATGGCTTTGTAGTATAACCTAACATCCAGAATTGTGATCCCTCTAACTTTGTTCTTTTTCA